AAACAATCAGCTCAAGTTTGGCAGGCAGAGAACCACCCAGGTAGATAGTACTCATCTAATGGACAGTCGCGGTGGGATAAATAATAATCACTCACAAAGTGGACCAAATGTATCAAAATATAGCAGTTTTTATCCAGTAAATGCAAAAAATCATGTTCGTTTTCGACAGTCTACTGCTGTTTATAACGATAAGATGTTACATCATAGTACTCGCTCGATAATTAATCTCGAACGAGCATCTGAGGAAAGCGGATTCGATACTCCATTCCCTTATGATCCGAATGAAAATATTGAGGAATTTTCTATTGGATATTATAATATCGAAGAAGGTTTTGGTATAGACGATCGTGATATACTTCATATAAAAGATGAAAAACAAATGGACACAAACGATCCTCAGGAAAACCCTTGGGTTGAAAACATAACTTACATAAGCAACAATAAGAATGGTAGAGCAACAGTTACTTCGAATGGGTCTGTATATTTATATGTCGCACAGCAAGTTAATCCGAGATTTGAAGTGACAGGTAAGTTCTGGCTAGGTCTTGTCTATGTATATTTATGAGTTCAAATCTAGGGGGTATTATCATGCTTAAGACAAGCAACGTATTATAAGTTGATTTTACATATAAGATATTTCAGTACTTCATTTGGAACAAACATTAAGTTTATACGTTACTTACTACTTTAAGTAATTTTTCTTAATGAAGTTTGTGCTAAATGTTACCCGTGGAAAAGCATATACGTTGTAAACTTTCAAAGGAAGTCTGTCATAACAAACGTTTTAAATGCGACTTTTTCGTAGATGCAAAACTTCATAAAATTTTAATGAAAAATATCTTATTGACTAAATATGTCTTTAATTCTCAACTTGATTACTTAAAAACAGAAAATGATATACAGTTTATGTGTTATTGTTTTCTTTGTTATTGTTTTTTTTGAAAACTTAGTACTTTAACTTTACTAAGATAGATAGGAATAAGTTTGTTTACTTTAAGTCTTTTCATGCTTTCCAAGTTAAGAAAGTAGGGCTAAGTATTTTAAAGTAGTTTTGAATGTGAGTATTTATTCGCACTTTGGATACAAACCATCTGCAAAGACATTACTTCACGTTTCTTTGCTATGGGTTCAGTAAGAGTTGTAACTTATTGTATGTAGCCATTAAGCCGCCCGCTCCAAATGCCTGGTACGGCCAACAGTGGAGAAATTCAGCTTCTCCTCCTGAAATGTTTTCACATGGCCGTGTGCATACAAGCACTGCCAGGGAAGTCCTAGTCATTGCCTTCTCGTAGTGGATATGTTGCTTACGAAATTGAGAGGACGGAAAGCGAATGTCCGGCGCTTTAACCGGGTTGGAGGACACAGACGGTACACCTATGGGCATCTGAAAACCCTGATTTCAAACCAATGGTGCATATGGGCTCCAGGATCCTAAGGAAACAAATGGCGTATGAAACTATTGTTAGTCACGGTCTACCATAGACCCATATCTCCTGACGTTGCTCCACTGCCTTGTGAATCAGTTTTTCCGGTCGAAGGCTCCGGGTGTCGCCCCCTAAGAAAACCACCTGCTTCGGTTTGGGCACCCGGGCTGTACCACAACTCTTACACGAATCAAGTGATTTATGTGACGCATATGTATTTGGCACTGTTTTGTTCCAATATTTTTGTGTTTAAATAAATAAATATATGGACACACAAGTTTTTATTTTCTGTTGACTAAATTTTATCTATGTTAGATAAAATAAAGCTTGCGAAATGTAAGACTATTTGATCTATTCCTAAGGTAAAAACTGTTTGTTTGAAATACTAGAGTTGTTCCCCTTTCTGAAGCAGAAATGTTTCAAACTAAGATAAATGTTTTTTTGGTTTAATGAATGATTCAACTGATTTAACTCAATTTGAAAGAAGTGAGTTTCCCTAAAGACCTAAATTTTAAAAAAATAATCAAACGTTGGAGCAAACCAACGTGTGCATCATCATACTTTTAATTTTAACGAAATATTTTTAAGTTTTACTACCGATTTTCACTTTTCGGTCCTGCTAAGTTTTGCCCATTTGCTGTCGAAAATGCTAACCACATTATTTTTATATTCTTACTCGGCACTAATTGTTACCTTAATAGCTTAGTTACATTTGCTTGTTGCTTTGTGAAGATTAAGTAAGTAAATAACTTGTTCCTTGAAACCGCACCGTGTTATGTAATCGATGATCCATCTCAGTTAAGTTCCCTTTGTTATTCGTCTGTGATTATAAATTTTATTACAGAACAAAACATCTGATACAACTATTTCAAAATTGCTTGTACCGTTTTACCTCGCCATAGCGCACCCGCATACTTTGATTCAGGTTGAAAAACGGTCAGTTCTTGCTATGACTTTGGAAAGTGTTGCTAGTTACCCATGTTTAAGTGTATGGCGCTAACGTTTTCTCCAGCTGTTGGTCTGTCAGTGTTTACACAGCTACCTACTCGAGGAAGCCCATCTAATCAAGTTTTAGTGTTTCTGGTATCACCACTCCCCATCACTTAAAAACAGATCACCGGCTAATCAATATTATCTTCGGTTATAGTCGTTTATATGCAGTGGGTTATAAAGTCCAACCAAGTAAGAGTAAATAGTAGTGGGAAGCTGTACATTTTTGTAATATCCCTCTCTGTCTCAATACAGTGCAGTCAACATTGAATGAAGGATAAATTTCTTGGTCGAACGACTAATCTCCTCAATAGGGGGTTCTAACCGAATACTATAGTACTAGATGACGACTTGAACGCGTACTTAAGTAGTTAATAGAGCGGCTTTTGTGAATAACATGAACTCACCCTTTGCAGATCAGATTATAGGGGCTACCTTCCACAGTTTTGTTCATAAGATAAAATACATCCGACCAGTTTCAATTCCTGGAAGAGTTCCAGTTAATTACTAAAATGGTACTTTGTGTATACAGGTTGTTTAAGCAATGTAAACCATGGCAGTCAAAACTGATTAACTTGGTGAAAATAACTATAAACCTGGTAACTACTACAGGTTAATAAGACTAACCTAAACCTCCGTTAGTAACAAGCCTGGTTTCGAAGAAAAATCCAATGACAATACAGTGTAAGTAATAGAGACTACCGATTCGACTAATGTCATTTCCAAAAAATAATGACTTTGATTATTTAAATGGGTTTTAGGAATATCAACTCAGTGACTTCTACACTTCTCTTAATTTGCTGTCGATAAGACAATCGAAAAGTAAGTTATTTTATTATACTTCGTCGTGGGACAAAAAATCCGCATATGAATAACATATATTGGTTCATTACTGAACTGCGATCGAAGTTTTGAATTTCATAGAGCTTGATTTATCCAGAGACTATCCTGGTATATTTTTATGTTATACACTTAATTAATGTAAAATTAATGTTATTAGATAAAAAAAATTATCTTGGTTACATCTTTAGTCATACTATACTTACTAATTATCATTTCTAATCTGCTATTAAAATATACTGACCTATTGTTTTATATTTCCCGATAAAATTATCGATCTCTTTCGTACGTCTCATCTTTAGAACCCCTTAGCACCATTTTTTGGTACAAATAAAACAAAATAAATGAACATTTATTAGGTTCCTATTAACTGAAATCCATATGAAACCAAGCGTTTTCCTTGGGTGATCTACATGTACAGTAATGTTGTCTTCCCAAAGACAGAAGTAAAATTTGGGAAATTTTCACCCTGGAAGCGTTAAACTTCATTGCTTTTCGAATTTACACTGCAAGTATTAACTTTCAAATAGTAACGACTCTGTACTATCAAACTAAAAGTAAATGCGTACTCAGGAGCGATTATTTATCTGGCTTATATTAATATTTTTCCTCTCTTTGATCATTCTCTCAATTATGATATATTATCAGCTTTCTATCGTTTATTATACACAACCAATTTTTACTAAAATCTAAGAGTACAAATGTTACAATTCTAAGCAGAGCTTAACTGAACAGGTTTGATAAGTCACAAATGATTGGTCATTGGGTGTCAAGCGTGTCAAGTGCTTCTTAGTGCAGATCGAATGCTATCGACCAAGTCACGGAGCACCAGTTCCCTCAAGATTACAGGTACATCTTTCTGACAAGTGCCGAGTAGCATGAAACCCGGGTCCAGGGTTTCCTGTTAACTACCTCCAACCACCATCTAAGGTTTGATAAGTCTTTATCGTTCCATAATTGGTGAATATAATATGATTTTATAGTTTTGTCCTTTTATTTCATTTAGACAATAATTTTTTATATTAAGCTTTCTATTACCTTTAGTGTCTTAATTTAGTTTTCTATGACTTTCGTTATTTAAGCTTTCTACCACCATTTCGACATAACGCAAAGTAATATTTCAACTTTTGCATTATGTATGGTTTTTTCGTACTCGCAAAACTTTACTAAGTAAAGGCTACAGAAAGTGCGTTAACATTAACTCCAATAAAATTATATTTGCATCCTTTTCTCATTTAGGCTACATGGTTCATGTAGTATTTACTTCATTTTCAGTGCCAGTATTAAAAAAAATCTAGTTAAAATTGTTCACACATATTTACCAAGAGGAAAAAACAGCACGAGAAAAAGATTAACTCGCAAATAAACGTCATACAATAAAAAGGACATATTGATTAATGATGCCAAAAATTTACAATTTTGTATTATTGATATAACAAATGGGTACATTGCACAAGAGTTTACATCGAAGAAAAAAGGTAAAGATTGGATAACAAGAGGTTGGGTTCAATGGAAAAAACGCTTCAATAATTGAGCCGAATGCTATATTTACATTGTAAAGCGAATTTATTTCTTCTAACCTTCCTAATATACTTTACTCTTATCATAATGGTTATGACTGAAATTCACTTCTGCTTTTCTATTGTTTATGTTATAGTTTAATACATTAAACAAATTATCTATAATCTTTCTGTTATTTGTTGTAGATTAAGAAGAATGATATGTGTTTACACAGCAATCTATCCATTATTCATAATTGAAAGGAAACAAATCAGATATCGTTTTGTGATTATTTTTACTATCATTGACATAGAATTTAAACGTTGTACATAAAACTAAAAAGTGTAAAGGTTTAGAGCGATATTTCACCTAATTATTGGTTATTTTATAAATATATTTGTTTGTATAAGAATGTGTTTTCCTATTAGGATCGCCTTAATCATTTCTTTACACAGGTTTACGAAATGAAAGTTAGGCTTGAATCGCCTTATTTTTCATTGATCAGGACATATCAGTTTGTTAAACTGATATGTGATTAATAAAGCTTGAGTTTATTTTCAAGTGAATAAAGAAAAGTTTATGAATATCAGTTTTCAAGTTGTGGTTTTCATCTCGTACTAACAATAGATGAGATTATTTCCATAACCAAAGAGAATCAATCATTTGCTTCCTTCTTGAATGCGATGTTTGACGCTTTATATTAGAAACTGACTGAAGTCGTAAATATTAATCATTTGATTTTAACTTGATGATATGAGAGTTACGCCTACACCAAAATACTTGAGGTCGTTAGCGCACATATCTGAAAGGCTCTATAGTAGGAAGAAAAGGTTGTCAAGTGCTCTATAAGTTCACCACTATTTTATTTGGTCCCGTTCTGTTACAGAAAGCATTTTAGAACCTGACTTACTTTCAAAAAATGCCTTATCAAAATGATTGAATCCTTTAATTTCAAAGATAAAAATCTACAAATATAAAGGGCATATATTTGTTAAAAGTAAAATAATTTTAATAGTAATTCTATATCACGCTATTAAAAAACAGGAATTTACTTGACTTAAAAGCAGCCTAAAATAATACTTCTGTATTTCTAGTAGCTATAGTGACTGAAACGTATATTTTTAATAGGTTTATTTCAACCATGAATGCATGCCATTCTTAATAAAGTAGAGTGGAAAGTACGATTTTGAAAATCTTTAAAAAAAAAGAGGATGAATAACGACAAGGAAATGGACAACTGTGTAAACACACACTATCCATTTATGTTTGTTGATGAAAGTAATCGATCAAAATGAGAAATTCCAAAGTATTAACTTTCGCCAATATGGTAATCAAAACTAGAAACCGAAAGTAAGGTTTAGAGAAACTGAATGAAGGCGATCGAAATTTTAGTATTAAATATATAATTTCATGATCTTAGGCTATCTAATAGTATTAATATACTTAAATGAATATGTAAATAAAAGTCAGAAGTTAATAGTTTATTTATCATTGAATTCCTTAACGACCCAGATTACTGTTTGTTTACTAATTAGATCAAATAGATTCTAAGTGATTTGTATTGAGTATAAAGAGATTATTTTGATGAATATAAAAATATGTCGACAGTTAATAAAATAGTATTTGTTAGTCATTAGGATTTCGTTGAGATGTTAGTGTTATTATTTTCTAACATATTCATTAAATAATGGAAGACATCAGCAACAAAATTAGGTTGATAAAGTTATTTAGAGACTTTTTTAGTTTCGTTTTCTCAGAGAAATACAGAATCGTATACTACAAGTTCGGTTTACATATACTTGTTTAAATCACCAACTGATCAGTTTATTCTGAATAGTATGATTTGTTCTAGCACCTGACTTTCAACAAATTACATCAACCACGTTTCAGTGGCATTACTAGACAAGTTAATAGTTTACGCTAGTCTATAAAGGAGTTGAGATTCTACATAGGATTCGGACCTATGTTACAGTGTTGCGACTGATCTAATTCTATCCGATATACAAACATTATGATATCGGTTAGTAATAAGTTTAGATTAGGAGGTAACGACAGTGAATAACCTAAATGCAGATGTAATAAAAAAACATGTTTCATACACTCTAAAGTGAGCAGCAGCATCCACCGCAAAAAACAAGTCTACATTTTCATATTAATTATCTTTAACTATCTAAAGTTTACTGTTCCCAGTCGATTAAAGCTTGCTACCATTCAAAAACCATGCCATATGGAAATGTTTGAAGTAGGATAAGACTGCATACCTAATTGTAATAATATAGACCAATCTCATGTTACCTATGTAACAAGGTTACTAGTAAACATTAGTTTTTGATAACTTATCAGAATATGCCTTTCTGTACTTTGTAAATATATATATATATATATATATATATATATATATATATATATAAATTTCTGTTAAAGTATTATTTCCGTGAGGACATAGGAACTAGTAATAACCATAATGATGTAATAGTAAAATTAAAAATTGCATAATAAGAATCAGCCAAAAATATTGTTAACAAATATAATGTCATTGAGTAGCATCCTATTATATCCATAGTTGACATATGTGCTTATACATAAATGTCATTGAACTGTACTTCATAAGTGAGTATTTTAGGCATACTGGAATTTTGGTTATTATGTTAGAGTAAAACGGTCAACAATTTCAAATCATGGGACGCGGTAAGACAATTGATTATTCACAGTGTATGATTCGAAATAACTGTGTACTTGATAAAAAAACTATTCAACATAGATTTAGGGGAGATTATATTGGTAACCATTTTTAAAATCAATAAACGCTAGATACTTAATGTGATTCATTTTCATACTAACATAGCTATAAATAATACCTATGTTCAAATAATATCTAACAATACTTTTTATCCACATTACAAGTTATGTTCAATCACAGTTATACAATATCAACCTTCTCGCTAGTTAGCTAGTTTTTAACAACTAAATAAAAATGAAACGAATGAATTTGGTTATAAAATATCTCCAGTTTATCACCTATTTGTTTTTATAAATAACTGAAAATGAACGCTTACTTTGTACAATTCTGACTACATTTCGTTCGAAAAATTAGACGCTGCACTTGATAAACCATGTCTGATTTACAAAGAAATGACAGAATTCGGTTAAAATAATGTCAATGGCATTTTGAAATAATTGGATGATGTTCAAGATGTATCATCGAAATATTAGCTATGAATGAAGTGGATATGGATGATCTCTTTCTCTACCTGATACACTTATTTCAATAACAGGAATCGATATTTTCATTTCATGTTGTTTCCAGTATCTAAATTTCTGTTCTTCGCTGAATGAACACGAACTTGTAGGTTATATCAAATTCAAAATGTTTGTTGTTGACGAGATCAATACAATAAAAGTCATGGATAAAGTGGTTATTAATTTACGTATGAACAATATTTCAAATGAATTTTCTGCTTCTATCAAAACTCACACAATGTATAATATGTTTCTGTTAACTGTCAATCAGTTGTAAGCTTGAATGAGGAAACGTACTGGGTGGTGGGCGTCAAGGAATCGGGAATAGATTTCTTGATTTGATATTCTTACGATTCCTATTTATTAATACTTATATAACAGTTTTGTGGATCTAGTGACTGTGGTAGCTTGTTCATCTGGGGTGCAAATATATCTGTTTTTTTGAAGTTTGAGATGTTTCCTGAGTAAGCAACTATGATGAGAGTTGAGGTTCAATGAATACTTTCATCTTAGATGATTAACAAGTTAAAATTACTAATGTTCAATCAGAGTTATACAATATCAACCTTCTATTTAGTTAACTCGTTTTTAATAACAAATAAATTTATCAATTTATCATCAAAAATAATACATAAATTACTAATTTGTACATCATAAATGGATATGTTTCTATGAAAAATATTTTCTGAATAATTCATAACATTAAAATTCTAAACTATTTATAAGCGATAAAGTTCTTTCATGTTCTTCTTGACAGTTTTTTTTTCTTTCTTTAACAACCGGTAACAATGATACACATATATGTGCACACATCACTATTATATTGGATACAAGTTGAAATCAAAATAGATTTTTCATTTCAACAACAACCACAACAACAACAACAACATTACTACTTATAATCATTGATATTCTCTATCAACTACTAAAGTTAATCATGTGAATATAATAATCATAGTATACTATGCAATATGATAGAAAATGAATAATTTCATTTTTAAAAGAAAAATATACATTTGATAGAATCAGAAAGACAAAGTGTATATAGAGATTATCATACATTAAATGAATAATTTATTAAGTAAATGTAATTCGAAACAAGATTTCTAATTTCTAATCAATATCATACTAAAAATGTTTACTCAATACTTAGTTTATTTGAAATTACCAAGTGTAACCTTGGCAACAATATATATATATATATATATATCGGTAGATTATTTTCACTGATTTACGGATTTTGTGACCATTCAAGATTATTTAGCTAAGGTGTAGTAATAAAGCTAAAACGTTTATGAAATATGATCAAAAAATATCCCAATGATATATATGTATAGTACCAGTTTAATAATGTACTGTAAAACATTTAAAAGAACCGAACAATTCAATGTTATTGAGATGAACGTTAGTAGATAAAATAAAACGTTATTAAAGATGTGATTAGTAGTAAGTAACCTATTTTTGCTGATATTCATCTAAAACTAACATTGATCATCAGTGAATAGTAACTAATGTTTTATGGCATGTTTAAGGAAAAATAAAATAACACTTTGGCATTATAAAAGAAGATGTATACGCTCTGTATCTTCCTTTAAGTTTTGAGTTATAGATTCTGTTTCTAATTCCTCGAATTCATTATTTCTTCTCGATTCATACTATTTGTATTTTTTCTATTTTACTACTAATAATACCGTTAATAATTCTGTTATTTTTGCCTTCGTAATGATGATTTTATTTCTCTGTGATTCTGTGATATGACAACATGAAACAATGTACATTGAAATTAAGCTTTACATTACATATGACTGACTGGCTGACTAAAAACAAACCAGTGTTTAATATTAAAATTCGCTTGGTATTGTTTGTTTGAATCTTCCCATGAATGTTTAGGACTACAATTGATCAGTCTCTTATTAGTATATGTGCTTACTGTGCTTATTTGAATTTGAATTTGAACTTTACCCCACTGCACAGACAGGTTGCTACCGGGACTCAGTAGCTGATTACATAACGTGATTGCGTTTGAAGTGAACGGCACTGGGTTCGAGTGCTGGAATGAACATCGACTCAGAGATGCCAGTACATTCAGCTGACAAGTCTCAAATAGGACGAAACCCGCGTCCTGAATTTCACTGCTAGCCACTATCCATCTTTGCATGTAGTTTTTACTAGCCTTTGCCACAAAGTATTCGACTGTTTCCTTTCAAAGTAAATACATAAATATTTTTTCTTTAATTTAGAAAAACAGAAATGAAAGTAAATTCACGTTTTACTTTCTTATGTTCATTATACATATGCGTAATAGAGATACTTGATTCATTATTGTTAATTAATTTTATTGAAAATTCTAATATAACTTTAAGGTGACTCTCTTTGTTCTATTAATTATAATCATAGAAATCTAGTTATATCAGTATGTATTATAAATCATAGTTGACATATCTTTCATTTGATATTTAATAAAAGATATTTCTTAAGTCTAATATTTATATTATCAAAATGGTTATAAACATGAAATAATAATAGTAATAATAGATTGCCATTGATTTCATGGAATGTATTCTATTCTATATATAAACTGAATAAAACCACAAGTTAATATTGGGTAGTTGAGCAGTCTTTCAGAATGTTGTGTATATATTGATGTATATATAGTGATAGTTAATTAATCAATAATTCGTAAGTATAGATTGATATCGTAAATGAATCAATGGAAGTCTAACATTGATCCATTCATGATGTCAATTTATACTCAACAATCTCCACGACCCTTTACTAATAGTACACAAGTATTTTAATTTGATATTTTTGTGTTACCAAAAGCACTAAACCAAATTAAGATTAAGATACTGATGAAATTTAAAGAGTATTGAACAGTACGTTTTATTCTACTTTGAAACTTCTGAATAATAAATGCACATAATGTTTAGATCTTCCAATTTGTATGATGTATTCAGTTCAGGTCACTCAGCTGAACTTCAGTGATTTACCTAACTATATTTGTAGTAAGAGATATTTTATCGATTATCTAGTCATTTCACCAATTATTTACATTTAAAAATATAGACCAATGGATATTGACTAAGTAGTCTGAAAGCATTGTGTTTGTTAAGAATCATTCAGATAAACGATTACATCATGTTCAAGGTAAGATTTTCACAATGCTAAAGACTAATGAATAAGAAAAATAGCGAATTCATAAGAACTATATATAGCATGAAAGTTCATGGTGAATACTTATCTACAAGGAAATTTAAAAACACAACAAAACTAGTACATTTATTAATAATATAAACAAACCGATGGGTATTTAGGCTTTTTATACTTAAATGAATTAAAAATCATTAAAAGATGAGTTATATTGATCAACTTAATTACATTACTTTATTTTAGATTTCCTCAGCTATGAGCAGTATCAAACATTTCTGGGATTGATGCTAAAGTTCTATAGATGTTTCATGATCTGATATTTGAAACAATTACATTCCAGTTACATTTGTTTATTACCGAACCTATACCAGATTGTCTCTTTAGGTAGAGGAGATTAAAACTTGAAGAATTGATCGGACCAGTTTTTAAACAAAAATACTGAAGATTTTTAAAGTCATTCCTGTGCTGTATGATCTAGATAGTTTTACTGATATGTAACTGCAATATATATAACAATGGGTAGTGATTATGATTCATATATCAAATTTTAACTTGTCAATCATCTAAGATGAAAGTGTTCATTGAACCTCAACTCTTAGCACAGTTGCCTACTCATGAAACATCTCAAACTTCGAAAAACAATTATATTTGCACCCCAGATGAACAAGCTACCACAGTCACTAGATCCACAAAACTGTTATATAAGTATTAATAAATAGGAATCGTAAGAATATCAAATCAAGAAATCTATTCCCGACTCCTTGACCCCCAACACCTAGTACGTGTCCTCATTCAAGCTTACAACTAATTGACAGTTAACAGAAACGTATTATACATTGTGTGAGTTTTGATAGAAGCAGAAAATTCATTTGAAATATTGGTCATAAGTAAATTAATAACCACTTGATCCATGACTTTTATTGCATTGATCTCGTCAACAACAAACATTTTGAATTTGATATAACCTACAAGTTCGTGTTCATTTAGCGAAGAACAGAAATTCAAATACTGGAAACAACATGAAATGAAAATAGTGATTCCTGTTATTGACATAAGTGTAATAGGTAGAGAAGGAGATCATCCATATCCACTGAATTTATAGCTAATATTTCGATGATACATCTTGAACATCATCCAATTATTTCAAAATGCCATACACATTATATTAACCAAATTCTGTCATTTCTTTGTAAATCAGACATGGTTTATCAAGTGCCGTGTCTAGTTTTTCGAACGAAATGTAGTCAGAATTGTACAAAGTAAGGGTTCATTTTCAGTTATTTATAAAAACAAATATGTGATAAACTGGAGATACTTTACCGGCACACATCCCGCATCAAAGGAAGTCATGAACTAACAAAGCATATTCATGTTAAATTTTAAAACAACAGCCAATTTCAAAGTGTATTAATTGAGTAGTAAAACTTCATAAGCACTTCTGTGTTGGTCAATAACAAATTCTCAGAATAAAATGAGAAAACAAAAGTTTTTCTTTGTATTAATCACAGATATTTATCTCTGCTTTATTTATTTAAATAATATTAAGTAGTGGATCGATAAATCGATATTTTAGATTACAATATAAAACCGTTGATTACCTAATGCAAATTTTCGCATAGAAATTAGAAAATAGTAAAAGTAGGTAGTTATAAAAGCCGTTTTGTCTTGTAGTAAAAAAATTAATCTATTTCATGGTGTTTGACTATTGGGTTACTTCATCTGAAT